AGATTTGTCACAATGGGAGAAAGCCCTGAGGTTTAATTTCCTTGTGCCCAATTTATGTGTGCAAGTGAGGTATCCCTGTATAGTCAACGTGAACTTGAGCTAAATTTATGAGCACATAATGAGGTTGTTTTTCCAGTTACCTTTGTGAAACTGTCAGAAATGGTTCACAGACCTCTTGCCCTGTTTGCCTCCCCAGAGTCTGCAGACTCAACCTTGAATATGGAGTATATCTACTTCAGATTTGTAATCCAGGAGGCAGAGTTAAGGAAAAAATACTAAGTATGTGCTAGCAAAAGTGTAACCATAATGTTCAATTTATTTCCTCCAAAATGGCAGATTCTGAAATCTAATTGCTGACACTTTAAAGCTCTGACTTAAAAAAAACCAGAGTGAAAAACATACTTGGGCACCAGAAGTGATGTTTAGGAAAACATGCTCTGAATAGTTTCTTGCAACTATCCTTGTGTATTAAAAAGTGTTGATACTCTGGTACTCAAAATTCAGAGATTTTTGTTCTCCTTTTTTTCACTTTTAGTTGTGAGTTTCTTTCTTTGGGTGTTTGAGAAAATCACCCTTTGGAGAAGTAAATGCTGACAATGAAAAAAATGCGTTAAAAACAATAGTTCAAGATAGAGTTCTCTTCGGTTTCCTCTAGATACGGCAGTGCTGGGCTTGTCTTTGGTTCTGTCTGAATCTGTCATGTTAAATGTGCTCTTGTTAGTTGAAAAATGCCTTCAATGTAAACTGCACATTGCATCTGAAAGATGAAATAGTTGTGTCTTGTGACTCGTCTATAGCAGCTGTTCCTCAGTTTCACTTAACACACAAAGTGGAACCAGGTCCAGCACAGTAACTCTTACCACTGTTGCTTTTGCCAAAGTTAAAAATGCAGTAAATTATTGCCACTGAAGTCAGGAGAGGTCTTTGAATTCAGAAAACATCTATTGAGTGTGTGATGTCATTTTTATGAAGTCATTCTTTGATTAGAATTGCAGTTTGGAAAAAAAGTGACTTCTGCTGTAAGTATAGTAAAATTGTTGTTAAATCCTAGTCTTGCAGAGTGATTGGGATTAATTTCCTGTTCTATGATACTGCAGTGAATAGCCTCTTTATCCCCAAACTGCAGGAAACTGCTTAGTGTTTTGTATGAGATTCTGCAGTGTGTGTGTTCCAGGGAGCTTGACTTTTAAGGACATGGGCACATCTCCCCTCTGCCCCAGCAGCAGATGTACAATGCAAACATTGCAGGCTGAACAAAAGCAACTGAGAAGCAGTTCATGTAAAACTGTCCTGTAGAGGTGTGTTAGCCTGGGTAATCCTGGTGCACAACAATGCTGTGGGAGCTGTATATCTGGAGTAGAAAATGCCAGTTTCATTGATTTTGTAACTGTTCAACTTCTAGCTGAAAATTCATCTCTGAATCTTTCAGTTGATGAGTGTATAATTAACAGGATGTGTTTGAGTAGGACTGATATGCTGTAGTCTAAGGAAAGGTTACGGGAATGCTTCGACAGAACTGATTCAGTAATGGTTTTGCTTTTGGTTCTTCTCATCTTCTGGGAGTTTATGTCAAGCAGTACCTGATCTTCTGCCTCCTAACCCAAGAATTCTAGGTTGAGAAGCTGGTTCTGGTGGTGCTCATTGCTGAGGTGTGAGCAGATAACTTTGTTATTAAAGCTTACTAAAAGCATCTTTATGAGTCTCAAAAGCACAGAATTGGATTTTAAAGCAGACTTCTGAATTGTTTAACAGAAAATACATCATTTTGTATGCAACTTCATGGTTCCTGTACCAGTCTTAACCTTTATCTAGGATCTTTTTGATAGATCTTTGGTGTAGATATCCTAGTTTGTGTGTGTAGTAACTCTTGTTAACTGTCAAAAGGATTGACCAGTCTTGCATGGAGGGACTCTGAGAGTTACTGTCAAGAAGTGGGGATTTGTTGATGTTTTTTAAATCATGTATTAATCAAATGCAGTTTCTGCTGCAAGACTTGGAGTATTCAAGCTGTATTTACAGATCAGGAGAAAAGGTATTAGGCAATTAAAGGCATTTTAGGGGGGCTGCAGCTCATTGTGTTAGATTATAAAAGTACTTCATCTTGCACAGATGAGGGAGTGATCCTCTATACAACTCAGCTACCACGTTAGCTGATACTGGCAGGCTTTTTTATGAGTGCTTTATCCCTTTGATTAGACCTTGATTGCCACTCAGGAACCAGATACAGCTTGCAGCCATCTCACTTCAACTTGTGCCAGCGTATGATGAAAGGACATGAAGATAGATGTTTAAAGCATGCCCCCCCATCCTCTGTGTTTGAAAGGCTTATTAAGGTTCATCAAAGAAAGAATCCCTTAGTTTGGGGCAATTCTGAGCTTTGGTTTGCAATTGAGCACTCCTCAGAGAGGATTTTGAAAGTTTACTTGCCTCTCTGCTGTGTGTTTTCAGGTGCTCTCACAGTTGGCCTTGTGCGACAGTGTCAAACCATCCATGGACGTGACAGGACCTGTATTCCTCCACGGCTGCCTCCCGAGTGGGTCACTACGTTATTTTTCATCATTATGGGAATCATTTCACTAACTGTCACATGTGGTTTGCTGGTGGCTTCCCACTGGCGAAGAGAAGCTACTAAATATGCTCGCTGGATAGCTTTCACTGGAAGTAAGTGACCTCAACTACACAGTTGGCCTGTATGCAGGATAAACTGGTGGAGTCTGAAATAACACCGTGGTGTTGTTAAGGAGCAGTGCTTAGGGCTCCTATATACCAAACATTCCTTCTCTTTAAATACCACATCTGAGGGAAAAATAAGCCATCAAAAATAAAGGGGTTGGTGTCTTAAATGGCTATAATTGAGAGGGAATAATAGTCTGAGTGCCCAAGGTGAGAGAAATGAAGGCCTGACCCCTTTTACCTGCCTTGGGCAGTGCTGTTAATTGACCTATGAAAATGAGCAGGGATAGAAGAGGTCAGCCCTGATTCGAGTGTCTGATAGTACTTCATACTTCCCCACTCCCATATATCCAGGACTTATTCCTAGCTGCATGGAATGACTGGAAATTCACTCCCTGTGGCAGAGGAGGCAGTTGGTACATCTGAGACTTACTCTAGTCTGAAATCTGTCCCTACTTCAGGTATCTCATGAATACCTTGTTCAGGGCTGGTGCTGCTTCAGTCCTGCTTTATGCTCATGGCAGCTGCTTTATTCAGAGTATCTGCATCCTAATTGGCTATGCAGGAGGATTGCCCACTGCAGAGCATCTGCTGTGCTTCTCAGCACTGAGACTTCTGCTTCCATAAGTGACCTACAGCCATGCTAGAGCCAGAGGGAGGAGTACCAGTGTTTTTCTGCCTCCCTTGATTCTGCTCTGTATGAGCACCAGCATAGCTCCTCACAGCTGAGCCTTCTCTAGCAGCCCTTTGTTTCCACACAGGGAAACATATCCTGTGGCTACTTCAGTGCAAAAGAAAAAGAGTTATAACGAGCAAGGGGAATAACTTTCAAACTTTCTTTCCTTGGTGTGTGTTACAGGCTTAGCCCAACTGTGAAATGGTGCCTTAATGACAGCATGAAAAAACTCAGAACCTGAGGGCTTTTAAATTGACTTGAATTATGACATACCACTAAAGGTAGTGTGAAAACTAACTAGAAAATGCAAGTTTGTGCTTTACACGGGCATCAGTAAGGTTTAGTGGAACTCCGTGACATCTAATGATATCTAATATGAGTAAGATTTAACCTTGTTTTGGGGAAGGGAATAATATTAAAAAGTGCTCAGCTTCAACAAAGGTACTTCACTGAGGCACTTGTACAATCAAAGCCATCCTTCTGACAACTTTGCTACACAGCATATTAAATTAACAGTGCAGCTCCTGCAGACAATGGAGTTATTGAAATGCTGCATCCGTTGTGATTGACTTTTATTTATTTTCCAGTGAATGATTGAAATAGCAAACATGAGCATTACTGAATATTCCATCCCAGCTTTTCCAGTGCACTTGTTTATCTGTACATATTTCATGTGTATGTAAGATATGCAGGGGGGGTTAAACTCAAAGTGCCATATAAAATTAATATGCTTTCAGTAAGCTGAAGTAAAGCTCTAGGGTGAAAAGGGGTTTAGAGTAGTATATATTAATGTTTTTCTGAAGTATCTCAAATTGTCACATCCCTCCAGCTTTAGTTTTTGGCTGAACTTATCTTCACAGGAAAGGTCTGGTACCCTAAAGCTGTTTGTTTTTTTCTGTAGATTTCATTAGGCTTGCAACAGGGTCCATTGTTAGATGTCTGGACATAGAAGGACATTGTTTTATTTCAGCAGTTGTCTATTTGTTATGAGATGGTTAATAATGAAACATACTAATTTGTTCTTTTGCAAGTCAGAATTATTCATAATTCTATGATCACTGCATTGATGAAATTCTAAAATTCAATGTCTTTGGTGTTAATCTCCAACACATACAGCTCTGTGACCCTTGCGTGCCACTTAACAGTGATCTTATCACTTGACTCACTTTTAAGAAAAATCAATTTGGAAGAAAAGAAGTGAATGGAAGGAAGAATTCTATATTTTTCAAAAAGTTGATGAGAGTGACTTCTGTGGCTCATTGGATGCAGCACAAATTAGGAACCTGTTTGTGGATTAGTATTAGGAAGCCTGTAGGCATGTGGAATCAACTTGGAATACCATGAGCAGGTCCTTCCTGGAGAAGAAGAGACTAGGAGAGACCTCATCACTGTATACAACTCCTTCACAGGGGAGATGGAGGGGCAGGCACTGATCTCTTCTCCCTGACAGCCAGTGGCAGGATGAGAGGGAATGGCCTGAAGCTGTGTCAGCGGAGGTTTAGGTTAGATTTTAGGAAAAGTTTCTTCCCCCAGAGGGTGTTTGGGCTCTGGAACAGCTCCCTGGGGCAGTGATCACAGCATCAAAGCTGCCAGAGTTCAAGGAGCATTTGGGCAATGCTCTCAGGCACATGGTGTGATTCTCAGGGCTGTCCTGTGCAGGGCTGAGAGTTGGTCTCAGTAATCCTTGTGGGTCCCTTCCAACTTCGACTGTTCTGTGATTCTCTGAAGTGCCAGTGCTGTTTAGATGAAAACATATGTAACTCATTAGAAGTGGGTAGGGAAAACTTCATATTTGTATTTCATCTCATCTGCAAGCAATTTCAAGACTCAACGGCCTCTTGCAGGCTGCTAGCAGATATTCTTCTCACAGAACTTTCTGAACACAACACAGGACAGCTATCCTAGGCAGGCAGGAACGTCTGCTGGGGCTGCCAAGGGAAGCTCTGGGACTGGCAGTTCTGTTCCTTCAAATGCAAGGGGGTCTGGAGTAAATCATCTGAGAGCAAAGGAATGCTCTTGCTCAGCCCTTCCCTTGCAGCTCTGACAGCAGCAAGGAAAGCCTGGTGAGAGGTCACTCTTGCCCAGTTCATGCTGGAATTTATATATAAATGTATAACTTATATTTTTCATGGATTTATTTTTTTGCTTGTAATCTTGTCACCTTGGATGACTTCAGATTTTTTCAGCTGTGTACCTGTAAATATGAATTATGGCTGAGAGTGGCCTTGTCTATCTTGTTAAGGTAGGAGACATGAGAAAGACAAAAGTTTGCTCTGTCAGTTCTCTTTCCTTGTATACTTTTGTAAAGGGATACACCCAAGAATGTATTTACAAGCACAGTATTTGCCTAGTTCCCTAGTTGGTGGGTTTACTACACAGAAACTTGTCTTTGTCTGTGAAACAGCTTTGTGAAGAGGAAGGATATTGCTGAGATCACATTGCATGTGTGACAAAAGTCTTCCAAAGGCAAACGCAAAGGTTTTCCTTCACATGATGTAGAGAAGAGTCCTTCAAGAATCACATTATTTCTACTGACATGATAGTTCTTGTCACTTGGGGCATAGATACTATCAAAACTGTCGCTGGTGTTTCAGTCTGTTAACAGCAGCACCAGAGTCACACAGGGTAATAGAGAGTGGATGCCTTCTCAGTGTTGGTTTGTGCACTGCCCAGGATTTTGTGTGCTCCTTCAGTGAAGTATTGGAGACTCCTAGCTGTGCCTTGTGTGTTGATAGCAGCCACAGAGCTGATCAGCTGTTCCTTTGCACAGTGCTATTGACTGGTGGCTCACGAGTGAGCCAAGAGCCTATTGCCGTCCCACCTTCTATACCACTTCACCACTATTTGTGCCCTGGGACACTGTGGCACATGTTGGTAGCTAAAAGTAACCTGACTGTGGTATTGTTCTGTGTATCTCTGAAACTTCTCCTTTTTTGCTACTCCTACTTCAAATGTATATAAACTCTTGCCTTTTCCGGGTGCTTGTTATTCCATCTTCAGGTTTAAAAGAAAGGAAGCTATGGTAGATCTCAAGTCTTGTAATTTCTGTGGTGCTTGGGACAGATACTGTTAAATTCCATAATTAGAAACAGTGTCCAGAGCTGGGGAGGCCACTGAGGTGGTCTTATGTATATTATAACAGTCTTGGCTATTGCAGGAGTTCACAGAGCTCCCTCAAGGTCTGTTTACATCTTACAGATTCAGGTCTCTTACCATCTGCTACAACTGGAATGGGAATTAATTCTGTGTCTGCTACCACTGAATGAGATGCTTCTCTGAGATGTATCAAGGGAGGAGATGCTAGGCAGAAAGAAATTATACTTCTACCTTTTCTCCAGCAGTTACCAGAGAGTCTGTTACTCTTTTTTACCTGAGGATTTAAATATTCATGAGTGTAATGGATTTGCTTTTTGGAGTGCAAGTAAAAATGGGGCAGGATAATCACATCCTTAACTAACAGTAGCTATCCTGTGAGCATCTGTGCCTGGTGTTCCCCAGTGAATAAAGTGCTTCTTGAGTTGTTAAGGATTTGTGCCAGGTGCTGCTTTCTGTGTTATGTGTCTCTAAAGAGGTGGCCAGGTGTTAGTTACAGTGAGCCCTCTAAAGACTAGACCATTTTTTAAGACTGGATTTTCAGAAGTTGTCATTAGATGCTCAAAACAATTCCAGGCTAAAGAATTACAGGAACCTAGTTGGTTTTTTGACAGCCACTGTTGAGATGCAGACTAGAAATTACTGTGTTTGTTACTAGAAATTGTAGTTAGTAAGTATCTTTTCTACAGATTTTTCTATCCAAGGAAGAACTTGTAATCAAAAATTAAGGCATTGTAATAGGTTGTCCAGGGAGGTGGTGGAGTCACCATCCCTGGAGGTATTTAAGAGGTGTCTGGACCTGGTGCTTCAGTGGTTATGGGGTTGCAGTGGTAGTGGTAAGTAGATGGTTGGACTTGATCTTTAAGGTCACTTCCAACCTTGATGATTCTTTGAAAAGCAAGTGCTCTTGAAAGAGAAGTTCTTTATGGGCTGCTGGAAGTTCACTGTGTTGATACTACCAGATATGGAGAGCTAAATTTTTGACTACAGCTTATATAAGAAATTCCTATCCTCTGCCTTACAAATTTCCTTCTAAAACAATATACACCGAGTTAAATGAGCACTTCATATACTGGATTTTCCTCTTAGTTTCTTTTTTTTTTTTTTTTGAAATAAATTTATCATGCAGTCTGCTCTTAATGACTTCTCAAAACTTTGCTGTAATTCTTCGCCAGGCTTCCTAATCTTCCAGAGACTTTGATGAATCCATTTTTTATTTGCTATTTCAGTAGACTGAAAATTCAGTCCACGTTACAGAAATGGCTTGGACACTCTCACAGCAGAACATGTGCACGGTGTGTCTGCACAGTGGAAGAGAAAAGATGACAGGTTCCTTCTGTAGTAAATGTTTGAGACGCATACGCACATGAGCATTCTGCACACTGCCTGCACATGCAGAGTTTGTTCTTTCTCCTGCTGTGAACTGAGGGAGAGTTGAGGTACCTGCACCCTTCTGTCCTTGGGCAGGAACACGAGGGGAACCTGGGCATATGCTCCACTTGGCACACAGTGCCGTGGGCAGCTCCCAGATCCAGGAGCACTGGTGTGTGAAGATACAACACACTTCAAGAGCAGTGATTTAGTAGAGGGGGATAAACATCTGTTCTTCAACCATATCCATGAGGCCATCAGAACTTTTCCAGCTGTGTGGTTCTTGGATATAAAAAATGGAGATTTAATCTTGAAAGTGCAGCTTGTTTTCACAATCCAAAAGCTATTTCATGTGAGTATGTTATTGGTAAGATACTACAGAGGTTTTGTAAATAATGGGAATGCTTGTCATGGGCAAACTGGATGCAGTAGGAAGCATGCTGAGTTATGACAATGTGACTCATCCTCAGAGTATCGTTCAAACTGTTACTAATTGTATTTGTATTACTAATCACACATCAACCACTGTTTTCTGGACCACTCAAGTGCAGAGCTCGTCTGCGCTTACACAAACCTGCTCAAGAGACACATCCCCATGCTTTCTCTCCTCAGATGGGCCAGCTGTTGGTTAAAATGCAGTTAAAAAAAGGGAAACATTCTTTAAGGATTAGATTATGTAGTGTGGAATGACATAGAGCAATAATCATGTAGATTAAAACCTTCTAGATTATTTAATGTTTAACGTCTGGTTGCTGGGTCTTTGTTTTAATAGATGGCCTAACGAGGTGGCACTGAGCAAGAACGTGGTGACTGTGCAGTTGCCAGATGTTTTCTGTTTGTGCTCTTTCTGTTCCCCTTTAAAGCATAACCCTGTGGTGTGAGGACGTTGGGAGCGAGGCGTGAGCCCCCTCCAGTGGAACATCTGGTTCTGTCAGCTGAAGGAAAGCCTGAGCCTGGTGGTGGCTCCTCTCGACTCAAGGTGTTGTGAAAGCTGCTTTGTGTGTTTTGGAAAGCAAGGAGCAGCGAGTGTTCTGGTGTGGATCATTCCTTATGCCCAGTTCCTACATAGACACTCTTTGAATTCAGATGCATCGTGCCCACAACTAGTGTCTTCTAGAATACAAGTGGGTTTTTGTCAAAGCTGAGACTTGTGCTATGGAAACCATAAGCACTAAGATATAAAATAAGTGGTAAGCTGTTCATATTGAATAAACACAGTCCATTAAAAATGTTCTTAGTGTGGGCACGTAACACCATAGCTGGATAATAGAGCATATAGATTTAGTCATAAGAGCAGTAGTGAAGTTACGTTAAGAAATATTGTGGCTGCTCCAGCCCATTGTTTCCTCATTTGAGAAGGCTAGAAACGTTGTTCTGGTGAGGCCAAAGGGGACAGGCAAGTTCCTGAATTTATTTTACATACCTTTGGAAACAAAAGCAGCTGCAGCACTGCTGACTTGCACGGGAACCAGTGATAAAGGTGATGGCTATGACTGTTGTTTGCATTACTTGTGAGGAAGCTCAAGTGGGGAACAGCGTCTCCAGTATTTTCTCTGTCCTGTAAAGGTGGAGAAGAGAAAGGGGAGAAAAGGACAGCACCTGTGTCCCTTACTAACAAACTAAAAGCAGCAGCTTGTGTTAACGGAGAGAAAGCTGAAAAAATCAGCATGTACTGCGCTTTGTTCAGGCAGGAGCATTGTGACTTGGCATGAATTTTCTTTTCTGTGTGGCTAGGCTATAGGCAGAGTTTGAGGCCTAGGAGAGGCTTCAGTGTGAGCTGTCTATCATGTTAGGAGATGTTGGGCTGTGGATTTGTTGGGTTGTGGGAGAACAGAGCAGGTTCACCCCTTTTCCCGCCCCCCAGATCTAATTACATTTGGTTGAGTTATAGTATTGGGGTGCCATGTTCCACTCACAATAAATCATGTTTGAAACAAAGTTGAAACAGAAGTGAAATTAGAGTAAAGCACTAATACCTGACTGAACTGGTAGAATCAGCTAAAATTTTGTTATTCTAACACTGATAAAAAACCCAATTGTATATCCTTGCATATGCAATTGAACCAATTCAAAACCTAATCCTTTTTATGGTGAAGAATGCCTTACCTCTGAGGAGCCATATTTGGAGGTCATTCCCTTGGCTGAAACAGTAGAGCCCTGCATATTGCTGTGTTCAAACTAAACAGGGTTACTTATCCAAAGGTATGTTACAGGAACACTGAAGTTGTCATCTGGGTAAGATTACAACACTGGATGTTCTCTCCTGGGTTTGATTGGAGTACTGAAATGTGCTGTGAGGAATGTTGGCCACTACTGATACTTGAAGGCCTGTGAAATGTGTAATGCAATTCTTTAACAGGAGTTCTGGGGTTTTGTATTTCCACACAGTCTGTTGTAAGCAGGAGCTGTGTACACAAGTCGTTCTTTGAGGTAAAGTACAAAGCCTCATTGCATGTTCTCTTTGCTCATGGAGTCTGAATTTGAAGTTTTTCACCAAGAAGCTTAGATTAAACTGAATCAGAAAACTTCCTTGGTATTCCAGTGGGAAATTCTAAGATATTTCATTACCTAAGGCAGCGTTCATACAACTTTAGGAAACTGATATCTTCTAATCTGTAATCTAAACTGTAATGACAATCTGACTGTGTTCTATTTTTAGCAAAGTTTTGCGGAAAAGGTATTTGTGTGGAAGAATGGGAGAGGGCAACTACAGTTGAAGAAAAGACAACTGATAATAGAAAAAGAGTTTCTTCAATGTTGAATGTTACTTTAACTTGACTGGGCAAAAATGACTAAAATAACTGGAGAAGGAATGGACTCTGACTAAACTTGGAGATGGTGGTAGAGGTACATCTACCAGTTTCTGATTCTGTAGAGACAGTTCATGATCTAGTGAGCAGGACTAAAATTGCAGTCAAAATTTGAGTGTTTTAGTCCTTGGGAATAGATGAGGGGTATTCTATCAGCGATATAAAGCCTACTGAGTCATTTCAAGCAGGTCTCGGCTCTTCAGAGGGGTCAGAATGGTTTGCTTGCTTTTCTGGAGTGCTCTATGAACGGGGAAATGTTTTCATTTTAACACAGCAATGACTGGTTTTTTTTTCTTTTCTCTTTGCAGTGATTCTATTCTGTATGGCAGCCCTAATATTTCCAATAGGATTTTACATCAATGAAGTTGGAGGTCAACCATATAAATTACCCAATAACACAGTGGTTGGGTCTTCGTACGTACTGTTTGTCTTATCCATTTTCTTTACGATAGTGGGACTTCTATTTGCTGGCAAAGTTTGTTTACCTGGCTGATGAATGTCTGAACTGCAGGACTTTGTTTTGGAATAGAGCAAGACATCAGAATTGCATTCTCAGGAGGATGCCTAAATCAGACTATCAAACACTGACTGAAAAGAGGAATGCTTTGACTTGTTCTCACTATGCACTTTGGATGAAAAAAAGGAGAGCCTTTCCCATAACCAAATACAGACAACGTTGACTCATCTCCTGAGCATACTTAATGCAGTCAGGGCTGCACTGTGATAGGAACTAGTGAAGAATGCTTTACACTGCGAAGCATAATGCCCCATGTTACTGGACTGTTCCTGTTTTTAACGTCTAACGATTTGGAAGTCAAAGTATTTATGAACTCTGTGGTAGAGCAGAGGGTTGTGGAGGAATTCAAGTGAGGCTGGCCTCGCTGCTTAGGAGATTAGTGTTTTACAGCTTCCTTCTGATGAGCAAAGCCTTTGGCACCAATGTGGATCAATCTTGCATTACTGCACCAAGAAGCCAATAGATCAAAACATGTTCTCTAAATGTATGTAACAGCAAGAAGACATACATCCCCTCCTCCCCCACAAGCTCTAGGAAACACTAAGGAACGTTTTAGAGGGGGATTTCTTCCTTATATTTATATAA